TCCAATGAAGCCATTTCTACCTATGACTAACACGCACTGCCCACTGATCACTTCCAAGTTTAATCCAGTGTGTCCCATGAGAACCTCAATTGCTCCACTCAGTATGCATGCCACTTCTTGGGCCGACAGTGCCAAGAAGTGACATACATATTAAGGACTAAAAGATGAGTAAATGTTAATCAGGAGAAGAGTGTGTTCCTGAGTGTATGATGCATGTGCAGAGGCTCTGTGGTCAGAGGACGTACGGGTCATTTTTGGTCACTGCGGTTGGAGTACAGAGAGTGAACAGAAGTGTGAAAGACGACCAGAAAGGAAGGCTAGGAAAACTAGGCAGTGCCTTGGGGTTCATGGAACAAAGCCAGTATTATTAGAGCCATAAGAAGTCATTGAAGGATGCTAACTAGACAGGCAACATGACCAGGTTTGTGGTAGACTCTTTGTGGCAGCAGTTCAGAGAGGAGAGAATAAGAGAGAAGAAGAAGTGGCCAATCAAAAGGTTTTTCTATTTTTTTTAAACATCTGTAAACAGCCCTTAGTGCATGTTTACAGAAAGTTTACAACAAACAGAGACTTGCATTGCAAACATTACTGCACCGGAGGGAAAGGAACAGGGTTGTAGCATTCATGTTCTGGTGACAGTCGAACTGTGCCTTCCGGCTCAAGGAAAGGAGGCACAGTAGCTACCCCCAAAGGTTGATGAGGAATGTTTTTTATATTTTCAATTTGCTTTTACACTCATGACAAGATTTGCTTCATAGGAAAAACGTATCAGGGCTGTAACTAAGATTTGGCTGTGATTCGAAGCCCGTTATTATGTCCTCCAGGGGTGTGAACACCTCTGTGGAGCCTTGCCTAATTTTCTGCTTACAATGTAAGTTTAAGTATCTGCCATTCATTGTGTCTGAAGCACTTAGCACTTCTAACAAACTAACTGAACATGTCCCCAGTAAAAGGATACATAGAAAACTCATCCATGCACGCCAGGCATTATGGGAGGTCCAACAGAGACCACAGGCAGATTGGCTGAAAACAGGCCCCCGGAAAGCGTGGAGATAACAAGTACTGTCTGGGAAAACAACAGCGAGAGTAGGAGGTTGGACAAGATGATATCTCGTATAGGTTGTCCATGAGAGGAAATGAAAATGGAAATCAATCATGTCCTTCGCCTTGGCTTGTGAGCCACCTATTCTACTTTAGAAGATGCTGGCCTACAGACTGTGATCTCCCTGGCATTGAGTCCGTGCCCACTCGTAGGTTTCTAACAGGAGTAGAACGCCTCCTTTCTCTCCCAAGGAGCGACTCGTGCTTTCACACTGCTGACTTTCCAGTTAGCAGCCCAAGGCGGAACCACTACACTACCAAGGTTTCACGCAGCTGTGGAAGCCGCCAGGAAGTCTTAGGAATGTGGGAAATACAACATTTCCATCCAAATTCGTCCATTCCTGTTGTCATTAGGTGCCACTGAGTCATTCAAGAGCAAGTTTCAGAGTTTCTTCTGACATCCACTTTGCTCTTTTCTTTGACTGTTACTGACATTTTGCTTTCTTTGTGTTTGATGTCATCCCACAACACATCCGGTCTGCAGCCATTCGTCTTCAATGCATCCCACTGACATGAGTGGGGGTGTCCATTTCTCGGGAAATTCGGCATGAGGCTATCCATGTAATCTTGGTATAAACTGGCTGCAATCTCCTTAACCTCCCCCCAAATAGGGCTGCCTTGATAGAAGCCAAGCCCCTAGCAAACCAATTGCTAGTGAATCAATGTTGACTCATGCGATACCTCTGTGTGTGTCAAAATAATTGCTCCCGTGCTTGGGAGATAAAGCCCACCCTTACTATTCCACAGCAAAAGATTTATTGACCTGGGAACACAAAAGACCAGCCCCCTTGAGTCAAACTGCGACTGAGATCTTTTTCTTGCTCCAGAACCTCCTGTGGCATTAGGCTGAATGCTGAAAACCAACCAAACCAAACCAACTGCCATTCAGTCAATTCTGACTCATAGCCATCCTGGAAGACAGAATAGAGCTGCTCCCTAGGATTTCTGAGACTGTCAATCTTTAGGAGAGGAGATAACCTCATCTTTCTCCCTCAGAGTGGCTGGTGGAGTTGAACTGCTGACCTGTCTGTTAGCAGCCCAACGTGTAACCCACCACAGCCCCAGTATATGGGACAAGAGGCAGTTATAGGGACAGAATAAGAGGATACTTCATGGTTTTAAATCAGGAAAGGTTGTATCAGGATTGTATTCTCTTCCTATACTTACTCAGTTTGTATGCTAAGAAGATTATTTGAGAAGCTGGACTATAGGAAGAAGAGGCATCAGGATTAGAGGAAGGATTGCAGAAAATCCACATCGTTGTTTAGTTTCTCCTCCTGTCCCATCTTGCTTCCATGAAACCTGCCTCTGGAAAGCGCTGCCTCTATAAACCACTAGTAAAAAAGACTTGAGTCTGGACTCCACCTCTAGAGAACCTAACCTAGGACAAGGCTGTGGTAGTAACCTATATACAACTGTTCAGGTCTTTTAAAGGATAAAAAGATTAATAAACTAAATATATAGCAGTTAGTTAAATCATTTGAAAGGGTAATTACTTCAATAACCCAAACCAGAAACCAAACCCACTGCCGTCGAGTCTATTGTAACTCATATTAACCTTACTCAATAGAGTAGAATTGCCCTTTTGGGCTTTCCAAGGATGTCAATCTTTACAGGAGCAAAAAGCTTCATCTCACCACCCTGGCCCCCCCAGGAGGACCTGGGAGGTAAAACTATTAAGCAACCCAACTTGTAATCAACTATACCACCAGGACCCTTTAATGGAGTAATCAAAGTCTGGTAATAAACAAACAAAAAAAGCCCTGTTCTGTATTTCAGATACTTTTTGAAAGGCAGGTAAGAGGGACTTGCCCCAAACTGATGCTATCCAATGAATAAGTATATCTGGACAGGTTGGTTCATGTGCAGGTGTGAAGCCCTGGTACCAGGAATGCTGGAAAGGTAATGTTAAACCTGTAGATGCTAATTTCACAAGGGTTTGCCTGTAGAGTAGAGACTGACAAACTATGGCCTGTGGGCCAAATCTAACCTGAGGAACACACGTTTTACATTTTAAAGTGGTAGAAAAATAAAACAAGAGAAGAATAACATGTGAAAATGATTCACAATTCAAAGTGAAAGCTCACCAAGACAGTTTTATTGGAAGCTGGGCATTATCTATGGCAGCTTTCTAAATAGCTCACAAAGCCTAAAATATTAATACTCTAGCCTTTTACATAAAACAAGAGTCTGTCTAGCACTGCTGCAGAGGAATGAGGAGTTTCAGTCTTGTTCTGTTGGACAGAGCTCCCTTTGAATAGCTTTTGTGAGTTGCTAAAAGATTTCTTACTTTTCAGGGGCTATCAAGTTTGATCTGAGCAGAGGCCAAGGAAGTAGTAAGGTATATGGGTAATGGATTCCAGGACACTGAGTCAGGGAAACACCCAGAGTGAGAAAAGGGGACACAGCCCTTTCCTGAAAGCCCTATAGGCAATTTTTGTGCTAAGAACAAGGAAGAGGATGCCTTTCGGCAGAAGGGACTTAAAAATGTGGGATAATGGAGTAGGTCAGCAAGGACTCAGAGTGGAAACCAGTAATTGCTTTAGATAGCATCTAAGCCCCAGGACACCCATTGAAGCTGCAAAATGGATTGCATTCCTGCTGGGGACAGGCTTGCTATTGACCCTGCAGATCTATGGATCAGTCCTGCATCTGGGCAGGAAAATACTACTCTTTCAGAAATCCTCTGCTGCCCTAATGTCCCGAGAAAGCAAGTGTACTAGGCCTAGTGTAGTTGACTGAGTGTATTTCTCGAGCATAAGATTAAAGGGGAGAAGGCGAGTGGGAGCTCCTTCCAACTCAGTGCCTCAATTTCTTTCCCTCATGCACCCTTTTTGCATGTTGTTGTGGTTGGTAGGTGCCATGGAGTCATTCTGACCCATAGCGAATTTATGCAAAACAGAAAGAAACCCTATTGGGTCCTGCACCAGCCTCATAATTGTTCCTGTTCTTGAACCTATTGTTAGAGCCATGGAGTCAATCCAACCCCTTCAGGGCCTTCCTTTCCTTTGCTGCCCCTCTATACCAGACATGCTATCTTCTCCAGAGACTGGTCTCTTCAGACAACATGTCTGAAGTATGTTAGACAACATCTTGCCATCTGTGCCACTAAGGGGCACTCTGACTGTACTTGGTAAACAGACTGGTTTGTCCCTTTAGCAGTCCATGATACTTTCTCGCTATTTCTCTCCAGCACAATTCAAATGTAATGATTCTTCTTCTGTCTTCTTTTTTCAGTGTTTAATTTTCACATGCATACAAAGCCATGGAAAAAACATGGCTTGTATTGGGTGCACCTTACTCCTCAGTCCTTGTTTTTCAATACTCTAAAGAGGTCTTTTGCAACAGATGTACCTAATGCAGCTCGTCTTTCGATTCCTTGGCTGCTGCATCCATGAGCACTAATTGCGGATCCATAAAGACAAAGTCCTTGACAACTTCACGCTCTTCTTCCTTAGTCCAGCTTCTCAAATGATCTGCTTAGCATACAGATTGAATATTCATAGTTAGACGATACAACTCCTGGCAACAACCTCTGTTTATTTTAAACCATTTAGCATTCTCTTGTTCTGTTCCTATCACTGTATCTCGATCCATGTCCAAATTCCACATGAGCACAATGAAGTTTTCTGGAATTCTCCTTCTCAAGGCTGTCTATAGTTTGTCTGTTGGTTTTCGATCCATATTGGCCTTTGCATAGTCAATAAAACACCAGTAAACCATTTTTCTGGAGTTCTCGGCTTTTAGTCCAAGATCCTTTCTGGTGTCAGGAATGATAAGCCTTTTACCACATCCTCTTTTGAGTCATGTCTTGATTTTCTGGCAGCTCCCTGTCACTGTACTGCGGCAGCCATTGCTGTTGAAAAATCTTCGTTAAAATTTTATTTGCGCTTTCCGCTCGGCCGTTCCGCTTAGAGGAGGGCCGTAGGGAGCCATGGCGCCCAGCCGGAATGGCATGATCCTGAAGCCCCACTTCCACAAGGACTGGCAGCGGCGTGTGTCCACGTGGTTCAACCAGCCGGCGCGGAAGATACGCAGGCGCAAGGCCCGACAAGCTAAAGCCAGCCGCATCGCCCTGCGGCCCGCGTCCGGCCCCATCCGGCCCATCGTGCGCTGCCCGACAGTGCGCTATCACACCAAAGTCCGTGCAGGCCGGGGCTTCAGCCTGGAAGAGCTGAGGGTGACCGGCATCCACAAGAAGGTGGCCCGAACCATCGGCATCTCCGTGGAACCCAGGAGGCGGAACAAGTCCACCCAGTCCTTGCAGGCCAAGGTGCAGCGACTTAAGGAGTACCGCTCCAAGCTCATCCTCTTCCCCAGGAAGCCCTCTGCCCCCAAGAAGGGAGACAGCTCTGCGGAGGAACTCAAACTGGCCACACAGCTTACTGGACCTGTGATGCCCATCCGAAATGTCTACAAGAAGGAGAAAGCCCGGGTTATCACGCAAGAAGAGAAGGACTTCAAGGCCTTTGCCAGTCTCCGCATGGCCCGTGCCAACGCCCGGCTCTTTGGCATCCGAGCGAAAAGGGCCAAGGAGGCTGCAGAGCAGGATGTGGAGAAGAAGAAGTAGTGTTGCCAGGGCCTTTAATAAACTCCGAGACCCACCAAAAAAAAAAAAAATTTACTTGCATGTGATATTAATGATTTTTTAAAATAATTTCCACATTCTGGTGGGTGATCTTTCTCTGGAATGGGTACAAATATAGATCTCTTCCAGTCAGTTCGCAGGTACCTACCTGCCTTCCAGATTGCTTGGCATAGGTGAATGAGAGCTTGCTTCATCAACATTTTGAAACTTTTCCTTTGGTATTCTGCAATTCCTATAGCCTTCTTTTTTGCTAATGCCTTCAGTCAAGTGTACATTTCTTCCTTCAGTATCCTAAATTCTTGATCATATCTCTTGAAATGGTTGAATGTAGACTAGTTCTTTTTGGTACCACAAGTGTGTATTCCTTCTATCTTCTTTTGATGCTTCCTGCATCATTCAGTGTTGTGCCACCCAAGATTTCTGTTCTTTCCGCTTACATATGCTGTTTTCTTCATTTGTGGTTGTCTAATTCCAGGTCTTTGCACATTTCATTATAGTAGTTTGTCTTCTTGAGATACTCTTTGAAATTTACTGTCAGCTTTTTTACTTTATCGCTGCTTCCATGTGTTTTAAACACTCTACATTCTAGAGCAACTTTCAGGTTCTCTTGTGACATTTACTTTTGTCTTTTCTTTACTTTCTATCTTTTTAATGACCCCTTTCTTCACGGATGATGTTCTTGATGCCAACCCAGAGCTTGTCAGATGTGCTGTCATTAGTATTCAAGGGGTCAAATCTTTTCTTGAGATGGTCTTTAGCTTTATATGGGATATACGAACCCTCGTTTATCGCGGTTCATCGGTTCTAGACCCTACCGTGATAAATGAAATTCCGCGAAGTAGGATTCCTTATTTGTAAATCAAATATTTTCATAGTTAGAGCATAGAGGACATGAAAAAACACCCTTTAGTCACCATTACACTCGTATTACCCAATTTATTAAACGAAAAAGGGAAAATGCAGTAAAACATTTTGGACGTTACAATTATCATTTATTATTTATTATACTATGAAGTACAACGGATGGAGCGAACGGAAGACTCATTCAAGTCGAAATGGCTTGCAACCTCCACGATTTTCTTGCCATCTTTGATCATATCCAAAAGTTTTACCTTTTCCTGGATGGTGAGCATCTTCCTCTGGCGCTTATTTTTATTGTCAGAAGGCTTAGAAGAAGAAGCTCGTTTAGGAGCCATCATAGGGCTTAGATAAAATTTCTTAAAAATCGCAAACAATTACAGTACACTGTACAAAAGCAAAAATGCATCTGATACGTAGCTCCGATACGTAGCGATGCAGACAGAAGTGTGTACAGTATGAGCCAATCAGTGGCAGTAATGACAGAGCATGCGCTGTTACGCAAAAACCGCGATAGAGTGAAGCCGCGGAAGTCGAAGCACGAAGTGGCGAGGGTTCACTGTACTCACATTCCTATTTGGGCTCTCATGAGCTTGTTTTATCTTCAACTTCAACTTCAGTGGGCACATGAGCATTTGTTGGTCAGCTCAAGGTCTTATTGTGGCTAGTGCTATTGAACTTCTCCATCATCTCCATCATCCACAGATGTAGTCAATTTTTTGCAATGTATTCCATCTGGTGAGTGCTACATGCATGACCACTTTTATGTAGTTAAAAAAGGGAGTATTTGCAATGAATAAGTTGTTGGCCTTACATAATTCTGTCATGTGCTTTCGAGCTTCATTTCTATCACCAAGACCATATTTCCTCTTTGTTTCAAAACTTTGCATCCCAATCACCAGTAACTATCAATGCATCTAGACTGCATGTTGGATCAATTTCAGATTGAAGAAGCTGGTAGATAGAATTCTTCAGTTTCTTCTTCTCTGGTTTTAGTGGTTGGTGCATAAAGTTGAATAATAGTTGTATTAACTGGTCTTCCTTGTAGGTGTTTAGATAGTATTCTATCACAGGCGGCATTGTACTTCAATATAGAGCTTGGTGTGTTCTTTTTGATGCTGAATTTGACTCTATTCCTTTAGAATTTGTCATTCCTGTTATAGTACATCACGATTGGCCAATTCAATATACTTGAACTATTGACTTGTATGATATGTGAATTATCTGCCAATAATACATAAGTAAATACTGTTCTGAGACAGTACTGAAATGTTTCACTGTATCCAATTTACCTACTTTTAAGTAATGTTTCCCCATCATTAAGTACATTCGGTTGTCTTTTCTGTCTTCTACATAGATCTGTTTTGCTTTGTGTTATGAATGTCTCTTAAAACCATAGATTCATGAATGGATTTGGGGCTCACACTCAATTCTAGCCCCAATCTCAGAACAATTAGTTCTTAAGACATGCTTCTACTTGATGCTCGCCTTCATGAAGAGATCACTGAAGATATGGGTACCATAGAAAAGTGTAGTGAAGAAACTAGATGGTGCCCAGCTATCAGAAATAATAGCATCTGGGGCTGTAAAGGCTTGTCCTCAAACAAACAGCCATCTAAATGAGGCATCAACTAAGTCCACATGGAAGAAGCCTGTGTGATCCAAGAATTACAAATTACAAAATACAAATCTGAAAGACAGAATGTGAACATCTTAAATGTGAACATCTGGTTTGAAGAAGGTTATGGATGACAAAAGCAGTCCAAAATCCATTTGCAAGATCCACATAAGGATTATACCTCCAGTGAATCCACCCAGACCATAGTCAAAGGATGTGAATGGCCATGTTATCAGACAGAGTGAATTGTAAAGTGGATTATGTAATTAGGTTTATGGGATATCTTATCTTTTGATCCATTTAAAAGTTGTTTCAGATTTTTTTAAAAGTGAAAAGGAAATACACATGGATTAACCTTCTGGTGAACTCTCTGATCATAAACCAGACATGGGAATAGGCTTGCTATCATGCAGGGTGCATTGGAAAGTGGATTATTGCAGATGCAGTCAAGTTACAATTTAACAGCTCATTATTTGATCTCCCTTTTGACCTATTTTAAGTTTTTTCTACTTTGTAATATGTTCTATTTTCTTTTTGACTGAGGTTTGTCTGGGTTTTTTTGCTGCTGTTAAGGTATTTTTTTAAATGTTTTTCTGTGTGTGAAGTCCAGGATAGGTCCATCTATGAAGGTAGTACCTGTATTAATGGTTTTGGGGGGCTATGGAGGGGGAGGTTGGGGGGAAATGAGGAACTAATGACGAGTACAAGAAAGAAGAAAATATTCTAAAATTGATTGTGGTGATGATTGCACAACTCTTCTTATATGATTGAACTATTGAATTGTATACGTGAATTATAGAAAACTATTTTTAAAAAACCTGAAGTATTTAACCTGTCAATGAACTGTACATGTAAAATTTTTTTGAATGAGCATTTGTTTTCCTGTATATATTTTCCACACAAAAATGAAGGACACTAACAAGGAAATTGGAAGTTTCTAGTACATGCAGAACAAATTAAAACCAATTTTTTATAGTTTTAGCACACAAAAAAAGCTAAACATAATTGACCCTATTTTGACAAATAGTGGATATTACATTTTGTAATAGTTACACAATTTCATGTCAACTTGATAAAAGTGAAGGGGTGGAGCCTAGCCTGTCAATCAGGTCACAGCCTGATGATCCTTCCTTGTGGGCATGACCTTCTCATGAGGATTCTGGGAAGTCTCTCTCTTGATTCTGCCATCAGAAGAGGTGGGCCACTCTCTCTCTGCTACACATTCCTGTTGACAAGCGACATGAAGTCATGCTGATGGCAGCCAGAGCCCTGGAGATGCTTCACTGCCATTGGATCCACAAAACTTTCCACCCACCCACCTGTGATCTTCCTGCATTCAGCATCATTGCATGTGCTGTAAGAGTCTAAAGAGGAATTTATGGACTAGTATCGGTATTGGACGCATGGGCTAATATCAGAATTCTGGAGTTAATCTGGATTGGGCTGGGATGTTTTCTCAATATATAATTGCTCTTTGATATGAAGGTCTCCCTTACATACATATGAGTGTCAATGAATTTGTTTCTCTGGTCAGCCCACTCTAAAACACACATTTAATTTATAAAAATGGATGACCATAATCCTTAGAGAAAAGTTGAGACATAATAATCCTGAAACAATAGATTATGAGTGCACCAAGCATATACCATATATACTCATGCATAAGCCAAGTTTTTCAGCACATTTTAATGCAGTTTTTATGGTAAAATTGGGTGCCTCGGCTGATATTCGGGTTGGCTTATACTTGAGTATATACGGTAGTTAGAATCTGCCAAGAATATGGTGAAAAGCAAAAAATATTGCTACTAGGGTTCCAGTTCACACCGTTTTATCAAAAACAAGACCAAAAAAAATAACCCTTGAAACGTAATTTTCATTTTATATGCCTAGTAAGTGAACATTGTCAGGTCATTATTGTTGTTCTAGTGGCTTTAGAAATTATAGCATCCAATGATTTTTGTGGTGTCTGAGTTTGAATAGTATGGTTAAGAACTATATTTGATGATAGTTTCTGCATACTTTTCAAATAAAAATGCAGTTTTAGCAGCAAAAAAAGGAAATGAAGTACTGAAACATGCTATGATGTGGATGGGCCTTAAAATATTATGCTAAGTGAAAGAAGCCAGTCACAAAAGATTGACTAGTCATATGATTTCATTGATATGGTGTGTCCTGAATAAGCAACTCTTTAGCAATAGAAGAAAATAAATGGTTGCCTAGAGCTGGGGCGTGGGGAACTTAAGGATTGGAGACTGGTAGATGTTAGGGATTGTTTTCTTTTAAGAGTGATACATTGTGAATGAGGGGGAGTGCAGAGTGGGGGCCCAGGGCCCATCCGGGGGAAATTGGACATCCCCTTGCAGAAGGGTTGCGGGGAGGTGAGGAGCAAATCGGAATGCAGTGTAGAAACGATGAAATATGCAATTTTCCTCTGATTCTTA